TACAAACATAAGCTCATATAGTTACACTGGGCTAGCCTGATCTGGTCAGATTGTGAGACCTAAGCAGGATCAACCCTGGTTAGTACTGGAATGGGAGACTGCCAAGGAATTCCAGGGTTGCTACGCAAAGGCAGGCGATGGCAAACCACCTCTGAACGTTTCTTGCCTGGAAAACCCTATGGGGTCACCATCAGTGTTCCCTCTAAGCTGTGGAGTCTTGTGAGCAAAAATTCTCCTTTGTGAGCTCCTGGCATTAAAATTGTGAGCCAGCGGTTTGGCTCCTGCATAGATTAGTTTGCTCTGGAGCCCTCCTTCCTGAGTGAAGACAAACATGTGTGAGCCAGAGGCTAAAATCTGTGAGCTAGCTCACACTAACTCAGCTTAGAGGGAACACTGGTCACCATAAGTCAGGCGACTTGACACCACTTCACACACACACACACACACACACACACACACACACAAAGCATTCTTTGGAAAGGTCATCTCTGCCTACTGTATTAGCATCCTTCAGAACAAGGTATCAATCGCTGCCCCCTTGTGCCTTAACCTTGGGAAACCTTGGTTGGGGATAACAGGGCAGGGAGATGTTCCTGTTGGCAGCAGAGGAGAGGACTTACAAGAATGGGTTTAAATTAAGGGTGGGAAAGTGCTGCTGGATCTTAGGAAAAACCTTTTGACAGTAAGAGTTGCGGAACAGTGGAATCAGCTGCCTCAGCTCACCCTCCCTGGTAGTCTTCACGCAGCAGCTGGATGAATGCTTGTCAGGGGTGCTTTAGGCTGATCCTACATTGAGCAGGGGGTTGGACTAGATGGCCTGTATGGACCCTTCAAGCTCTGTGATTCTATGACTCTCCTAAGGTGTGGTAGATTCTTGGCTCCCCCATTCTAAATGCTGTAATCTTATAATCCTTCCTTCCTAACCTTCTGTGGAGTCCTGTGCTTCAGAGAAGATGTTTATGGCCATTATTACCTTCAAATGATGCTTCATTATTGGGTCTGGTCTGAAGGACCATGTCCTTTGCCTTCCATCCCCAGCTTTCATGGAAGGGAAAACAAGGGATCTCCCAAAAAGCGAGTGGATGTCCGCCCAACCAGAACATCCAGCATAGAGCACAGCAAAGAGAAGGACACTTTGGTGAGCTACAGCAGCGATCCAGAGAACAAGCGGAATTCGGTGAAGGAGTCCGACGAGAACAAGGAGAACCTGATCATGAACTCTGAAATCAACGAGGACTCTGTTTTCTATCAGGACGAAGAGGTTTTGAATGATTCCATAATTTCTGGTAAGAGGAAGCCATATTATAAACTCTGTTTAAAATGTTGCTCTCATAGACTGGGTTCCTCCATTCCCATGTATTTCTTGGTAAACTTGCTCAAGGAGAATGGGTTGTGGGGAGTGGAGCAGTACTTAAAATCAAGTCGGCACAGAATTTGCAACAGGGAGTCAAGTCCCACTTCTGTAGTGAAAACTGTACTGGTGATTTATTATCTCTATGGCCCGATGTATATGTTCTGGAAGCCTCCCTTCCAAAAGGTTGTAGATAGAACGGCGCATGTACAGAGGAGAGAGACAAGGATGATCAGGGGCCTGGAGACCAAGCCCTACGAGGAAAACCTGGAACCGGCACTGATCCATATGCTAAACAGTATAGTAATTTTAGTAGACATTTGTGGTCTGATACACAGAAAGGAAAAACCAGTGTAAGCGTGGAGTAACTACATGAGAAAAATCATTTGATACTGAAGTAGGCTTACCAAGTTTAGATTGAGAAATTCCTGGAGATTTGGGGGTAAGAATATAAGAACATAAGAAAAGCCCTGCTGGATCAAACCAGAAGTCCATCTAGTCCAGCATCCTGTCTCACACAGTGGTCACCCAGTTCCTCTGGAGGTCCAACAACAGGCCTTCTCCTCATGTTGCCTCCTGGCTCTGGTATTTAGAGATTTAGTGCCCCTGAATATGGAGGTTCCCTCAGTCACCATGGCTAGTAGCTGTTGATAGACATCCTCCATGAATCTATCTAGCCCCCTTTAAAGCTGTTTATTCCTGTGGACATCACTATATCCTCTGGCAGTGAATTCCACATTTTAATCACCCTCTGTGTAAAGTAGTATTTCCTTTTGTCTGCCCTAAGCCAGTTTGCTGTAATGGTTAAGTGCACGGACTCTAATCTGGGAGAACCGGGTTTGATTCCCCACTCCTCCACTTGCAGCTGCTGGATGACCTTGGGCAAGCCATAGTTCTGGCACAGCTGTTCTTGAAAAAGAGCAGTTCTGGAAAGAGCTCTCTCAGCCCCACCCACCTCATGGGAAAGAGCAGGTAGAGAAAGAGGTACTTTTCTCCCTTTCTCACAATACAAGAACCCGTGGGCACTCCATGAAATTGCTGAGCGGTCGGGTTAGAACGGATAAAAGGAAGTACTTCTTCACCCAAAAAGTGATTAACACTTGGAATTCACTGCCACAGGAAGTGGTGGCAGCTACAAGCATGGACGGCTTCAAAAGGGAATTAGATAAGCATATGGAGCAGAGGTCCATCAGTGGCTATTAGCCACAAGGTATAGATAGGGACTCTGGGGCAAGTGATACTCTGTCATCTTGGTGCTTGGGGGGGGGGTCAACAGTGGGAGGGCTTCTAATGTCCTGGCCCCACTGGTGGACCTCCTGATGGCACCTGGTATTTCTGGCCACTGTGGGATACAGAGTGTTGGACTGGATGGGCCTTTGGCCTGATCCAACATTGGCATCTCTTATGTTCTTATGTTCTCACAGGGTGTCTGTTGTAAGGAGAGGAAGGGAAAGGAGTTTGTAAGCCGCTCTGAGACTCCTTCGGGCAGTGAAGGGCGGGGTATAAATCCAATCTCTTCTCTTCTCTTCTACTGCCCAACAGCTTCATTCAATGCCCTCGAGTTTTAGTGTCTTGGGAGAGGGAGAGCCTGGTAAGGGCAGGGTTTGGGGAGGGGAGGTACCTCAGCAGAGTATAATGCTATTGAGTTCACTCTCTAAAGCAGCCATTTTCTCTCCTTTGGGGGTGTGGACCCTATTGTGGGCTCTAGAGTCTAGGGGAACTGATCTTTATAGTCTGGAGAACAATTGTAGTCACAGAAGATCTCCAGACCCACCTGGGAGTTGGCAACTCTATAAAAAAGCACCATCAAAGACAGCTGTTATAGAAATAATCCCTGAAGTAGAGGAATAGTGCCATCCTAAGTGGAGTTTCACCCTTCTGTGCCCATTAAAATCAGTCCTCTCAGAAGGGTATAACTCTGCTTAGAGGGGCCCTATAAAGTATCATTACTCTGAAGAGCCAGTTTGGTGTAGTGGTTAAGAAGAAGAAGAAGAAGAAGAAGAGATTGGATTTATACCCCGCCCTTCACTTGCAGTCTCAGAGCAGCTTACAAACTCCTTCCCCTTCTCCTCCCCACAACAGACACCCCGTGAGGTGGGTGGGGCTGAGAGAACTCTGACACAAACTGCTCTTTTTCAAGGACAGCTGTGCCAGAGCTTGTGACTGACCCAAGGTCACATCAGCAGGTGCAATCAAACCCGGTTCTCCCAGATTAGAGTCCGCGCACTTAACCACTACACCAAAATGGCTCTCTGCCATGGAATCTAACCGGGGAGAACCAGGTTTGATTCCCCACTTCTTCACATGCAGCTGCTGGTGTGACTTTGGGTCAGTCACAAGTTCTCTCAGAGCTGTTCTCTGAAGACCAGTTCTCTCAGAGCTCTCTCAGCCCCAACTATCTCACAGGGTGTCTGTTGTGGGGAGGAAAAGGGAAAGGAGATCATAAGCCACTCTGAGACTTTGAGTGAAGGGTGGGGTATAAATTCAATCTCTTTTTTTTCTTCTGAAAGGAAAAATTTGTGAATAATACTTTGACTTTCCGGAATCTTTAGGCCTCAGACTCAGAAGCTAATGGCTTAAAGCTGAGACATAGGAGTCTCTCTGTGCTGAGAGGTGTCAGGACCCACAGTCAAACAACAGAGCACACTCTTCCAAGAAAGGTTTTACTTTATTGTTAGTACTATGGTTGCAGTAACATGGTCACTGTTAGGAATGACGACTATAGAACAAGCATATAGTGATATAGAGGATTCAACAGCTCCCCCCACCACCACCTGTGAGCCAATCGGCCCATTTTCCACGGGTGGGGGAAAATAGCCCGTCGAGGCTGAGAAACGAAACTAGTCTCACGGTTAATTAACGTGGAGACACTACACAGACAGACAGGAATGCAAGGTCAGTGATAACGAGGAGAGAAGCATGAGGGAAGGAGTGTGGCACCAACTTGTACAGAGGTCAGGCAGGCGAACTCCAGGCCTATAAACCATATGGCAGTCTACCTGACAAGAGGTTCCAAAATGACTGTGGTGTGTGATGTTGACAGCATGAAACCTCTAAACTGGCTAGGCCAGGCCTTTCCTGATTATCTCCCCCCCACACACACACAGCTACAGCTCACTACCTCAAGTCAACAACCATACAAACTATGGATGCCACCCTCCAGGTGGAGCCTGGGGATCTCTAGGAATCACAACTCATCTCCAAACCACACAGATCAGTTCTCCTGTAGAAAATGGCTGCCTTGAAGGATGGACTCTATGGTGTTATACCCTGATGAGGTATCTTTCTTCCCCAAACCCTGCCCTTTGCCGGTTCCCCTCACCTCGGGACATGCTCTTTGTATCCGGGTTTGGATACACTTGCCTGGTTTGCCCTGCTTAAATAAGTGTATGTATATCTCAGCAAACAAGTTTGAACTGGAGCATTAGTAAACTGCTAATAGCTATTCCGTGAGCCTCTGCCCAACTGGCGTGTGTGTGTGTGTGTGTGTCTGTCGGGAGCCAGACAGAATTCTAATTAAATGTGAAAAATCTACCATACTCAGTGAGGATTCAGGAACTGGCAGATCTCACGATGCTTATTACAACAGCGAGGCCTAGGGATTCCCTAATTGAACCGCAGGGGAGAAGATTAAGATATCTCCGCAGAGCCTTAGATGGAGCAGGGCTGTCACGACTTTTCCCAGCCGTGTTTATTTTCCATGAGCTGCATGTTTCATTATGGACACTGGGGGGTGCTGTGTTCACTGCCTGAGAAGACGCTGGCCTTTCCAGAGAAGTATCGCAAAGATGCAGGAGTTTTGTGAACTCCAGGGAGGAGTCTTTCAGTGATTTCTTTCCTTCTTCATCTCCTTTATAAACAAAGAATGGCTTCCCTTCAGATATATGGAGACTGAGTTGTGTTTTGCAGGAATTCTTAAAAGACTAGGAAGGGAGACGTCTGCATTTCCGATCTGAATAACTGATACTGTCGAGTGTTGCAGCTGGCAGGTCCTCCTGAGCCGTATTCCCTCAAAGCTGAGTTAGTGTGAGCTAGCTCACAGTTTTAGCCTCTGGCTCACACATTTTGGTCTTAGCTCAGGAAGGAGGGCTCCAGAGCAAACTGGTTTATGCAGCAGCCAAATCGCTCGCTCACAACTTTAATGCCACTAGTTCAAAAAGCAGAATTTTTGCTCACAAGACTCCACAGCTTAGAAGGAGCTTTGGTCCTGAGCCTGCAGTAGGGACTCATCCTTCCCTCCAGTTGTCATCCGAAAAAATTTATTTATTTATTTATTTATATTTACATTTATATCCCGCCCTACCCCAAAGGCTCAGGGCGGCTAACAGGGGCACAAAGTGCCAGGTTAAAACAATAACGTATAATTTAAAAAACAATAAATTACAATAAAATATAAACAATTTACAGCAAATTTCAAGCAAGAAGGGAAGATCTTAACCTCACATAGCTACCTCACATAGCTACTGACGATCTTATGCTCAGAGCCGTGTCCAGTGCCACGTTCCACCCTTGGGGGCCAGGCAATCAGATGTTAATTCACTAGGGCACAGGGGTACAGATGGAATAGTGGTGGTGGCGGCTCCTATCCAAAGGCCTGGCGGAAGAGCTCTGTCTTGCAAGCCCTGCGGAACTGAGAAAGGTCCCGCAGGGCCCGGATCTCCTCCGGGAGCTCTTTTCACCAGGTAGGAGCTGCCACCGAAAATGCCCCAGCCCTAGTCACAGCAAATTTAGCTTCTCTCGGGCCTGGAATTTCCAGGAGATGCCTCCCTCCTGACGGACGTGCCCTTGGATGTGGCACTGAGACTTGCTGGCTGGTCACTTATGGGGTGGAAGTTTGATTGCCAGCCTCCAGGTGGGGCCTGGAGATTTCCTGGAATGACAACTGATCTCCAGACTCTGGAGATTAGTCCCCCTGGCTGCTCTGGAGGGTGGACTCAATGGCGTCATACTGTACTGAGGTCCCTCCCCTCTCCAAACCCCACCTTCCCAGGCTATTTATCCAAATCTCAAGGAATTTCCCAACCCAGAGTTGGCAACACAAGGGTTCTGACCCACCTCCTTGCAAGCTAAACTGGTTGTTGACCCAGGGACTTGAAGATCATATATCCAGCTCAAATCATTTCCATTCTTTGGTCTGGGAGGTCTGTAAGAATCAAACCAGAGATGAATGGACATTTCTTTTGGTTCATACTTGAAGTCGACTTATTCCCATTTCAGAACAAGGTGTCATCTCTGTCATTTAGCCCCCTGCTCCCATTAGGTAGCACAGTTATGAATTTCCTCCTAAACTATGAACAACACTAAGCATGTTCACTGTTCAAAGTGTTGCTCGATCCCAGTGTAAACCTGTGCCCCTCTCAGCTTCTCCGAGTCTCCTCCTATTGGCTCCCTCTATCAAACCATTCCTCTGGCAGCCCATGGGCTCACCTGTACAGTACTGGCTCCATCTCTTTGGGACAATTTACCTGAAGAAGTGAAGTTGGCCTCTTTTTTGGCCCAATTCTGCAGGCCAACCATGTTCTCTCAGATCCCTCCTGCAGGATGGAGGATGATGATGATAATCTCCTTCCACAAGGTACAGACAGGAACTCTCAGTCTGGGGCAAGGGATGCTCTGTATTCTTAGTGCTGGGGGGGGCAACAGTGGGAGGTCTTCTAGTGTCCTGGCCCCACTGGTGGACCTCCTGGTGGCACCTGGTATTTTTGGCCACTGTGTGACAGAGTGTTGGTTGGACTGGATGGGCCATTGGCCTGATCCAACATTGGTTTCTCTTATGTTCTTATGTTCTTACACAGTTGTTTATAATATCTGTGAAGTCCCTGAAACAGAGAAAGTGCTATAATATTATGGCTATTCTCAGGCTGGGTAACATTTGGAAGCTGAAGCCCAGAGGTCGATTCGGGGGGGGGTCGCGGGGGATCGCAGTTCCCCCAGGTGAGGTGCAGGGGGGAGGGGCACACGATGAAGCCCCGCCCCCTGCTTCCGGCTGCCCCGCTTCCGGCCCTCATTCAGCCAGGAGGAGGCAGGAGAAGAGGGAGGGTAAGTTGCTTCCTCCCCGCTCCCCACCCCTGCCTGCCTGAGGCCAGGGAGGGCCTTGGCGGGGCTTCCTCACACTCCCGCCGGCGGCTTGCAGGTCCACCTCCCGGCCCCTGATGTCAGGGGGTGTGGCATATGCTAATGAGTTATGCTAATGAGTTCCCCTAGCTCTTTTTCTACAAAACGACCCCTGCTGAAGCCACATGGATTGGGATAACCACTTGTGGGTCCTTGATCCACCCAGTCATCCAGCTGTTTTAAATGAAAGGTCCCATGTTCTCTCTGAACAACCTTCCTGCAGAATTCACGATTTGCATTCCATTCCCCAAGAAAACGTGGTCCAATAAACTAGGGTTCCCTGGCTTATTTTAGGAACAGCCTCTCTGACACGTTCATAATTTCCCAATGTGTGCTTCCAGGTACTTTGCCAAGGAAATGTAAGAAAGAGTTGCTGGCAGTGAAATTGCGGAACAGGCCGAGCAAACAGGAGCTGGAAGACAGGAACATTTTCCCAAGGAGAACCGATGAAGAGAGACAGGAAATACGCCAGCAAATTGAAATGAAACTCTCCAAGTAAGTGCAGTTTAGAGTATACAACTTCCCACTGTGTACCTTGCCTTTGCGTCCTACTCCAGTTCCTCTTGTGTATTGCAGATTCTTAGCAATGGTGAATCTGGTCTCAAAGCCATCATTGCCCTTGCATTCAAGTATCTGGGTTGCAGGGCAAACACCTGTTTAGAGTCCCAGGGGTCTCTAAGTGGTCACTGAAAAGGGAATCGAGTGCTTAAAAATGGTGTGGTGCCTGCAATTGTGAGGCATGGGAGTACGATCTGTGGGTTTCTGAACATCAAGTTAAATCCAGTGTTTCTATTATTCTACATCTGTTCAGGAATCTGAAGAACTAGAAAGGGATAATATTGAGCCTAAACTAGCATATCAGTCACATGAGCTGAAGGTGTGGCTTACACAAGGTGCACAAATGCCACAGCATTGGCTCACTTGGATCAGAAAGATTTCCTGAGCTTGGTCCTTGTGTGCCAGCTCAGGGATTGCACAGCTTCTTTTGTTCACAGGGCACGGGAATTTCCATGACTTTGGCTTTGTAGGTTAGATCAAGGGCTGCACGGCTCTTTGAAGCTTTACATTATAACCTGTGTGGCGCCTTTTGCACAGCTTTTTGTAAGCAGTGCTTTATGCTCTAACTGAAAAATAGCAGAATGCATTTGATTTTCACATAGTTTGGATACCTGTTTTATGGAGGGAAAACTTCTCCCATGTTGGGAATTTTGGCATGAAGACTGAAAACTTGAAAATTCGGCTCAAGCCAATGTGATGCTGCTCTTTAGTTGTCTGATTGGAGGTTATGGGCAACTGCCCGCCTGGGTTGTTATAGGCCTTGTTTGATAAAGTTAGAATGACCAAGTGTTGAGTCTTCAGAACAAATAAAATAGTGTGCATAGCGATGCGTCTGCATGACGGTTCATGTGCCTCTGAGGTTCTTATGGTAAAGGAGACCAATCATGTAACCCCCAAAGATTCTTTTAAAATTATTAGAACTGGTCAATGTTGATAATATCAAACAATTTAAATTTTCTTCTTATTCTGCTAAAATCTACTTATCTTTCAAAGTTTAGCTCTTCCAAATCTAGTGGCATGCATACGTAACACTTTCAGTATCTACAGTGTATCTTCTGATCTTCTGAATCTACCCTGACAGAAATCCTACCCCCCCCCTCAAAAAAAAATGGTACAGGAGGAGATAGAGACCACCTCCTTCAGAATTATCCTATAATGCCATGAAAGTTAGAAGAGCTTTTCTGTCTTTGCCTCATTCCTTTTTTCCTTGATTTCAAGCAGATTTTTTAAAATTTTGTTTTTAAATGTAAGGCAGG